CATGCGAGGGTAAAATTTAAGAATAGGAAGAAGCCTATTGCAACGTGGCATGCCTTTGGTGGGCCACACGAAGATACAGTTTAGAGTAGGAAAAAGCCATTGCAACGTAGCATTCCTGTCGTTGGCAATTCAACTGTAAAATTTAGAAAAGGAAGAAGCCATTGCAACGTAGCATGCCTTTTGTGGGCCACCCGAGGGTAGAATTTAGAGCAGGAAGGAAACATTACAACAAAACATTTCTTTTTGTGAGCCACCCGATGGCAAATTTTAGAGTAGGAAGGAGCCACTACAACGATTTACAAAGTAGCATTCCTTTGATGGGCCATTCCAAAGTAAAAGTTAGAAAAGGAAGAAGCCATTGCAATGTAGCATGCCTTTTGTGGGCCACCCGAGGATAAAATTTAGAGCAGGAAGGGGCCATTATATTGCAACGTAGCATTCCTGTTGTGGGCAATTCGAGGGTGAAATTTAGAATAGGAAGGAGCCATTACAACGCAGCATTAGCTCGAATTCGAATTCGAATCGACGACAGGGGAACCAGTTCGAGTTCGAGTTCGAATTCCAATCGACGACAATTTTGACACCCGGAGGGGGGGAAACCAGTTCGAGTTCGAGTTCGAATTGACGACCATTTTCACACCGGTGGGGGGGGGACCAGTTCGAGTTCGAGTGTGAATTCGCATTCGAATCGACGACAGCGATTTTGGAGTTCGACTCTTTCTATATTCGTCCACCGGGTTGACTTCTAACTGTTCCAGTTCGAGTTCGAGATCGAGTTCGGTTCCTTCCATATATATATATATGTCAAAACACGGGCCCCTTGACCCCACTAGGGTTCCCTAACCCTGCCGCCCGTCGGCCGCTCGACTATTTTGCTACGCCTGAGCATCGAGGTGCCTTCGGTTCGAATCCTGCTTGCTATCGGTCTGCACTGACACTGCTTTTACATTCCCATTTATATATTCAATCTTTACTTCTGCTGAACGAAAGGTGCATCGAAAGCATAGGAAGACATCGAAAACACTGCTGACCCCCACCATGTCTGAACTGCTAAATCAGGCCTCGACTGAGTGCTTAGCCAGCTCAACGCACCGTTGACTGCTCTCAGAGCGGCAGTCTCTTGGACATTTGCGGTGAGCCAGTGTTTCTTTACTCTATCTTTTGAGGTTCTGATCGGTGAATGTGTTCAGCATACTCCTTTTGCTGGTACCTGTACCAGCCGCCCCAATGCTTGCACTCAGGACAACATACCAGTAATTCAGGTCTCTTCTCATCCAGCAGTCGGCTCACTTTCTTCTGCGTCTCCGGGTTCGTCAAGTCCCAACCCTGCTGAATATCAAAGGCCAAGCCTGCTTCTTTTCGCTCTTGCAACACCTCACAGAAGCGAGGTGGAGAGAACAGCTCAGCAACGACACATTGGCTGCGTCCCTTCTGCCAAGCCTCATGGTGGGCCAACAGACAGCGATGCTCTCTGCGGGTGTATTCTCTTTCTGGGCCAACAGACAGCTCGGCGGTGTCTGTCTCTGTCTCTTCATCCTCCGTCTCGTCAGCCTGATCTGAACTGTCTGAGGGTGAAGGTTGTTCACACAGCAAAACTTCATCTTGATCCAACACGTTCAACACGTATTGGCCGGCGCTGTTTGTCTGTAACGGCCTTGGTGTAGAACCTGCAATCGACAGCGTGCTTTGTGAACAGTCCAACACTGCTTGTAAACTTCGCAATGTATTGCGACTTGACAAAAGCGGTGCACTGCCCTTGATGATCGCTGCTTCAATCCGTCCGGCCTTGCCATGAATGTTCACCGGGCTGCTACACGACACGCTCTGACCATTCTTCATTGCCGTTTCCGAAACGGAAAAGGTTGTGTTGTTCCTTTGTCGGAGGGCAACTCATGTTCCGTTCTTGATACAGCCGCATGAACGAATTCAACGTGTCTTGTCCAATCAACGTCCTGCTGCAACCTGAGTCCAGAATACCGAATCCTGGGGATGACACCAACAGCACATCTTCAACCATTGCTGCTCCATTGACCTTGTCCTTGTCACTGCGGGTCGAGCTCGATGATCCTTTCTGTGTGCAGTTTCTGGCCCAATGGCCGATTTGGCCACATCGTCGACAGCGAGAGCGTTTTTGTAGGTCGCTGACTTCTTTGTTGAACTGCCTCTTCACAGCACTGGCCTGTCCAAACTTGCGAGACTTCTGCAGTTTGAAAATCTCGGTCCTCCGTTCCTTCCAGGTGGCGGCCAGCACTTCCGCAATCTCCTCCTCATCGAAGCTCTCTCCAGCGTTTTGGTTTTCCGTGAAATCCATACTCGGCCAAGAAAGCCTCGACCTCCTCAAACTGAACGGAATCCGGGCCGTCTGTCTCACCTGTATAGGGCACGTCAACATTCTGGTCTTCCTCCATCTCCTGTTGCACAATGAAGGCCGACGAACTCTTTGCATGCTTTCGAGATGCAAGGAACTCTGGAAAACAGCTGCGCATGGATGCCACCACAACATCAAAGCGGTCACGATCGCCCGTTGGTCAGGAGAGAGGCCGCTTGCATTGAGACATATCCAGCCTCGTGCTTCGGACGGAAAGTCCACTGACACCTTCCGCTTGCACTTCGAGAATGCTTCCTGCACCCGTGACGTCCAATTGGCCAGGCTTTCACCATCTGTAGCTGACAATTCGAAGACCTCTTTCAAACATTCAGCAAGCCAATCATGAGTCAACTTGTCAGGAAATCTTGCATCCAGGGCTGTCCAAATATGACTGTCGCCATTTGTCTCAGACAATTGTTCCAATGTCACATGCTCAACTGCCTCTAGGGCCACATCTTGGCCTCCACCCAAAGCCTCCATCGTCTGTATTCCGTCGGGTCGAGGTTCTCACCGCTGAACCTCTTCTGACTTCCCAGGGAACCGACATCCGACGACGCCATGGATCTACTGACACTGCTTTGGTGCTCCAACCAGACCTAAGGCTGTACACCTACTCTACCAAACCCTGGAACCCTCCCCCCTACCACCTACGGGGAGGGCTCCGCTACCAATTTCAAAACACGGGTCCCTTGACCCAACTAGGGTTCCCTAACCCTACCGCCCGTCGGCCGCTCGACTATTTTGCTACGCCTGAGAATCGAGGTGCCTTCGGTTCGAATCCTGCTTGCTATCGGTCTGCACTGACACTGCTTTTACATATATATATATATCCTTTCAGGGTTGAGTTCATCAATAAGTATAACTGTTTCAGTTCGAGTTCGAGTTCGAGTTCGGTTCCTTCCATATATCCTTTCAGGGTTGAGTTCATCAATAAGTATAACTGTCTCAGTTCGAGATCGAGTTCGAGTTCGAGTTCGGTTCCTTCCATATATCCTTTCAGGGTTAAGTTAAGTTCATCAATAAGTATAACTGTTTCAGTTCAAGATCGAGTTCGAGTTCGAGCGGGGCACACTATGCAATGCGAAGCAAATGCGAAGCAAATGCGAAGCAAATGCGAAGCAATAAGCAAATGCGAAGCAAATGCGAAGCAAATGCGAAGCAAATGCGAAGCAACTGCGAAGCAAAAAGCAAATGCGAAGCAAATGCGAAGCAAAAAGCAAATGCGAAGCAAATGCGAGGCAAATGCGAAGCAAAAATCACATGCGAAGCAAACGCGAAGCAAATGTGAAGCGTGTTTTCGCTTCAGATTCGCAAGAAAAGCGCCATTTGCTTCAGATTCGTGCATTTCGTGAGGTCAGCACTTCACGTCCAGGATTGGAAGCGCTTGCCTCGAAGCCGTGACAGGTCTCGAGGCTGAAGCAATGTGTCGAAGTCATTCCGGTGCGGTGCGATGCAAATTTTGCATGTCCAAGTGTGGCATAGTGGCAGCTGCAGGAGGTCTGGAAGTCAGTTTGCGGGTGAGGCACAAGGAATCATCAGGCTGCCACGTGTTGTGCAGGTGACTTTCGAGGGGCTTGGATTATGAAACTGCTTGGCAGGTCTTCACTCAGATGAGACTTCCCACGTGACTTTTGGAGGACGTCTCGTACAAAATGCTCATGTTGAAGGCTTGACGAGTCACAGAATGCTCGCTTTGGAGACTTGATGCGTGACTTTTCGAGGAAGCCTCCTACCAAATGCCCTAGAGCCCTAGAGTCCTAGAGTGCCTGCCCTACCACAAGAGTGTCCCACAAGAGTGGCCTGCAAGAATGTCCCAAAAGAACGTCCGCCAAGAGTCCCCAAAAGGGTGCCCTACAAGAGTGCGTAACAAGAGTGTCCTGCAAGAGAGTCCCGCCCGCAAGCAAGGGTGTCCCACAAGAGTGTGCGACAAGAGTGTCCTCCCGCAAGAGTGTTCTAAAAGAGTGAATATCTAGAATGCCCTTCAAGAGTGTTTTTGAAGAGTGTCAAGGACGTTTGGCCAAAGGTGTTTGCGCCCGTGTGTACAATCAAGTTCGTGGGCTCCATCTTGTTTCCTTTTTGGCATCATTGGACTTTCTGTATCCTGTATTAATATTTTGCGCTTGCTTCTTCATACTTGGACTTCCCTAATGTCTTTGGTGAAAATCCTTTGTGAGACTCTGCCTCCAATTCTACCTGTAAAGCGCACCCCCACCAGGAAGGCCCCCTGTCGAAGGCTTTGCATCAAAAAGAAGCTAAGGTTCCTAGATTTTGGATGATTTTGGACACTTTGTGGTTTTCAGGACATGTGCCCGCAATACTCCCAGCTTGTTAGCCAGGCAGATTGTCATTGATTTTTGAACCGGTCGACCACCCATGCAAAGATGAACAAAGACTTTAGCCGCAAAATACGTGAACCCCAAGAATTGTTGCACCTGGTTAACCGACATCAGTGAAAGTAGAAAAGGCCATATAGGGTTCCACCAAATTTTGCACCGGTCGGAAGAAAACCTGTAAAACACAAGCTCTTTGTTTTCAGGACAAAAGCCTATAATTCGGGTTGGCTCATTCTTCTTTCGTGACGTCCATGCAGGGGGGTCCTTTCAAACAGAGCGCGCCAATTCCGCTGACTGTCCTGGAACTTCTTGTTGTTGTGGGTAAAGCGGCCAGACGCACTCCAATGGATAGACTGCGCACAATTGCGTGTACCCCGTGGCCGAAGATGCAAAAATCGTTTTAATATTTCCGGTATTTCAAGAGAAAAGCCCCTTGCCTTGTCATTCGGTGCTTTGCCTCAGCGCTGGGAAACTACTGGACTGGCTGATGAATTCAATTCTGAAACCTGAAATGTTTCGTTGCTTTCTGATATGTACATACAACGTACATAATAACATAACATTTTACTGTGCTGGCCCGAGCTTGGGCACCCCTACGGAGAACAACCTCATGAGGCACTCCAGCCGGTGTCGAGGATTGTTGCGGTGGGCATGCATCAGGCGCTGTGGGTGCTGGAGGAGCAGGGGGCGCTGCAGGCGCTGTGGGTGCTGGAGGAGCAGGGGGCACCGCACGCGCTGTGGGTGCTTGAGGTGGTGGGGGCACTTCAGTCGGAGCGAACGCCACAGGCGCTGGCACTGTTGGCGCTTCAAACGCAGCTTCCTGGTTCTCGTCACCCTCGATATGACTTCTCCGGAGTAGCCTTCAGTTCCAGAGCTCAAGAGCTCTAAACTATTCCACACATCCCAGGGTCCGGGCTTCAAAAAGCATCCGGGCCTCAGAAAGGAAGGGATCCAGGAACTGTCCCACTGATTGATGCAAGGATCTAAGGATCTTGCACATAGTCGTCAGACATGCGCGCGTACGAAAAACAATGCTGTCATGTCAAATCATTACAGAATCACAAGTAGAATCCATGCTATATGTAATTATACGTGCATTTGGAGTGAGCAGCATTCTCAAATGGTGGCACCAACTCCTCAGGAATGCTAACAGTTTCCTCGGTGAACTCTTCATTTTGCGTTGTTGTCTTGAGCACTGTGGGCAAAAGCATGTTGTGATTCACACCAACTGTTTCTTTCCACCACCGCCTCCTTCAATTGCCAACAAAAATCAACTTTGCTCCTGGAAAAAGGCTCCCGACCTTCATGCTTCCCTGCACCCAGAAAAGTGAAGCCATTTTCACTGGCATAACTTGCTCCACAGGCATAATGGAACACGATTTTAAAGTTGCCTCTAAACAGTCAACCAAGTTCATACCCCATTCGCTCTGAAATCAAGCTCCTATATATATATATATAGACCTGAGAAGGGGGAGACGAAAGCCAGCAGCCGCGAGGCGAGTGTCTTTTTTCTGGCGGGCGTCGCGGCACAAGACACATGGCCGGCAGCTTGCGAGTCAGCGGTGCCGCGGGTGCGGGGGGGCGTATGTAATGGTGATGGAGGGAGCAGAGAAGCAAGCCGGGTGGCTTTGGGACAAGTTTCTGAGTGAATTAAATTAGTTTCATTAATTTCGTTCACCTCGTACCTCGTCTTAATTTCATGTTTTGAAATTATTCACCTCGCCTCGTTTAATTTCAATAATTTCATTCACCTCGTCTGCATTTGTTGGGGGGGGGCTGAATGCCTGCCATGGCTTCCTGCACATCCAAACTGGTAATCGGGCCTATTTCTTGACAATAGGTTGTTTTTTGTCCTTGGGATTCTTGGGGCTCTCTGCCCTGCATGGGTGGAAGAATCCCTGTAGCTCCTGGAAACTACACCCAACAGTGGCCTCTACAATGCTCTACAAGCCCCAATCCCTTCAAGCATGCCTTCAAGCATGCTTGGGAAAAAATCAGGCCTATTTCTTGGAAATAGGTTGTTTGTTTGTTTTTGGTATTCTTGAGGCTTCTGTGTGGCATGGTGGGTGGATCCCCTGTAGCTCCTGGAAACTACACCCAACAGTGGCCTCTACAAGCCCCAATTCCTT